CATTTTGTTATTTAACATTAGTTCTTGGAGATCTAGGCACTTCACATGGAACTAGCTTGTTTCCTTTGCTTGTGTACACAGTATAAATATACCAACTTAGACATTTTCTCTTAATGGACTCTAGTTTAATTTTTTTTCTATTGTAAACCATGCAGCAATGAACATTTGTACATATCTCTCTCTGGGTATAACTGCATATTCTCCTGGATTAATACTACAAAGTAGAACTGCTGAGTTAGAATTTCTGTGCATTTTTATTTTAATAGATTGCAAATTGCCATCCGAAGTAGTCTGACAATTTACCCCTTCCTTCCACTTGCATATCTGAGTATCATTTTTTCTATATCTTGACTAGCACTTAATATTAACCTTTTTGTCTTTGCAATATGAGTGTGAAAAGCTACATCATTGTTTTTTTTTTTTTAATTTGCATTTTGGAATTGGACATACTTATATATGTATGTATGTTTGTTAATATCCTTTCTTATAGAAATATTTTCATAGGAGTTTTTCACCCTCCAGTTTTTAATCTATTTGAAATATACTTTTATGTATTGTGTGTGACAGAGCACTAACTTTAGTCTTGTTATTTTTATATACATAGCTAATGTCTCAACAACCTTTATTGAATAGTTCTTTTTCCTATGGCTTTGAAATACCACCCTAATCATATTTCAAATTTCCATATATTATTCTGTTTATTGTTTCAATGTTTTTCAAACATTTTCTAGTGCTAGGTAAAGTAAGAAGTAAATTTATCCTGTAACCTGACACGCCACCCATGCATGAACATATGCAAAACAGAATGTTCATCAAGCAACAGCTAGTGTAATAAGTGTGTTACACTCTGATCATTTTTCTTTTCTTCCAATACATTAAAAAAAAATCAGGTGGTAACTACTAAATTGACTTCCTGACCCACAAATAATTTCCAACTTGTAATATGAAAAATTCTTCCTATTTTGTTTCATTAGTTTCCTGGAGTTTTCCAGCAACATTAAAATAAATATAATTTTGAAACATTTGATACAGCTTTATGTCTACACTCTGATCATTTTTCTTTTCTTCCAATACATTAAAAAAAAATCAGGTGGTAACTACTAAATTGACTTCCTGACCCACAAATAATTTCCAACTTGTAATATGAAAAATTCTTCCTATTTTGTTTCATTAGTTTCCTGGAGTTTTCCAGCAACATTAAAATAAATATAATTTTGAAACATTTGATACAGCTTTATGTCTTTGCTTTTTTTTTTTTTTTAAATGGGTTTTTGTATTTTCTGGACTTTTAGATTTTTTTCTTGGACATATAGATTTTTCTGGGGTAAGGTTCCACAAAAAATACTTTTTTGAAGATTTTGACTGACTTTCCACTGAATCTGTAAATTAATTTGGGGGATAATTAATGTTTTTACGATATTGACTGCCAGCTGTGATTTAGATCTCATTTGATTTAGGTTTTCTATTATGGTTAATTTTTCCTTTTAAAAATATTTTTAAAATTAAAATTATATAGATTTAAGGTGTACATGTTTAACATGGTTTTATATATATATAGTGAATTGATACATGTATATATAGTGAATCTTACTACAGTCAAGCTAATTAACATATCATCATCTCTCATAGTTAATTTTTTGTGTTCGTCTAAGGTACTAAGTTTCAGTTATGCAAGATGAGCAAGTTCTAGAGATCTGTACAACATGTGCTTATTGATAAGAATATTGTATTGTACACTTAAAAATTTGTTAAGACAGTAGAACTCGGGTTGTATTCCTACCACAATTAAAAAAAAAAAAGAAAAAAGATACTTTATTTGCAAATGAGAGTTATCTAATCAAGGCAGCTAAATAAATTGAGTTTTGCTTTAGAAGGATAACGTTGGTGTTGTTATAGAAAATATGTGGAGAAAGAGAAACCATTGCCAAGAGAAGTTAGGAGGTCATTGTCTGGTCTTGGTGAAAGATAATGAAGGCATAAGGGTGGGAAAAGTTTTCCTTCACCCTCTTAGGGCCCCTGACTGGGTCTGAAAATTAAACTGATAAAGACAGATTAACAGGAGAAAATTTAATATGCTTTACATAACACAGGATCCTTCATAAAGAAATGAAGACCCAAATAAACAGTTAACCTGAGTATGTTTATGCTAGATTTGATGAAGAGGGGACAGCTGTGGAGGAAGGAATACGATAGGTCAGAGTATGAGATTAGTGTAATAAACTGGGGGAAGCTTAGCAAGGCCTCTTTATTAGAATTCTCTGTGTCCCTTTGGTTTGTGGGGATAAGGATGCTCTTTTCCTCCAAGTATGGGGAAGCACCCTTCACCTGAGGGTTTTATGACCTGTTTCAGGGAAGAAGGGATGGGGTGGGGTCCGAGTGACCTTTTTGCTTCTGCCGTTTTCTCAAATTCCTTCAGCTTAAATATTCAATATACTAAGGTGCCATATTTTGGGGGTAGTGTGACCTGAACCCATCAAAGGCCTATAGTAAGGAGGTTTGGAGACAACTGGGCAAACTGGTTTGACATTTCAGAGCGAGAATAAACTGAATTCTACCATATGTGATTCAGTGTTATAAGTCACAGGGGAAGAGAAGGCTAATGCATCTCCCTTGGATATACTGAGTTTGAAGTACCTATGGGATATCTAGGTTTAGATGCTCAGTAGACACCTAGAAGTATATGGGCCTGGGGATCAAGAAGTAAGTCTTGAAAGGAGCCAAGAGGTTTACAAATAAAGGGTATTAGAGATAATCACTGGGAGTGTGAAATTGAAAAGAGGCCAGAGAGCAGATCTCAAGGGACATCAACATTTTCAGGTAGTTGGAAAAGTTGATGAGGCTAGCAAAATGTTAGATTATGAAACAGGAGAAAAGTAAAGAGAATTTCAAGAAGTAGGTAGTATCTGGCAGTATCTTATATTTTGGAGACATCAAATAAAACACGAGCTCTGGAAAGAGGTTGTCAGGTTAAACAATTAGGCAACTTTTAACCTAAGAGGAAGCACTTTCTGTAATGTGGTTGGTAAAATACTAGAGTATGCTACATTGAAATGAGAATGTGGGTGAAGAGAAGACTGTGTGTAGAGAACTCCTTCATGAAATTGACCAATGAAGCAAATTTCTTTGACAGAGAGATAGGACTACCTTTTTTAAGGGTACTTTTTTTTTTTTAAGAGCTAAAAGTGAATTTATAAAAAAAAACAAGCTCAGGACCAAATGTAGTAAATCTTGAAACATTTTCTCCTGTAACTATTATACCTAGTGTTATTTCTGGCATGTAGCAGATGCTCAGAAAATATGACAAAGCGTGTAAATCCTTTTAGTTTTACTGACTCAATTTCCCTATATAATTGAATCTTGTTAAGGTCTTACTATACCTAAGGTATTTTTCTTCTTCTTCTTTCTTTTTGAGCATAAAATTGAATTCAGTAATTTTGCAATCACATGAGCAGTTATTTCAAGCATGTGCTCACAAAACACTTCACTCTAGTTGTACTTAACTGTTTGCAAACTTTGTATCTGGTCTTTGCTTAAGGAAGCATTTTTATAAAGTTTTAAAGGTAATTAAAAATGATGCTATTTTATTTAAGTTCTCTTTTCCCCTTTGTATATTTTGGCTCTGCATTCTAATTTTAATGCCATACTGTCGAGCACAAGATTGAGAAATGTGTTTATTCAGTGTAGTCCCCTTTCCTGAACACAACCCTTTCCTTCCCCTTAAGAGTAACCATCACTATGCTGATTTTTATATAGTCCCTTCCTTGCTTTTAAAAATTATTTTATTACCCAGATGTACATTCTCAATATTATACTTTACTTTTACTTTTTTTTTTTAAAGGCATGTTTTTAATGCATCAGCATTTCTAGACTTATCTCTCTTTTCTAATTAATCTGTTGAAAAAAAAAACCAGATCATTTATTTTATAGCGTTTTTCTCACAATCTGGATTTTGTTGATCACTTTCATGGGGTGTAGTTTTAACATGTTTTCCCTTTCCTCTGCATTTCCTAGTAATTGGATTTAGGGACTTAGTCAGTTTCAGGACTTCCTGCCCCTTTAATACCAGATCACTTCCTAGGTAGTGGGGTGTTCCTCCTCGAGAGACACACATCATTTTTGAGATGATTGTAGCAATTGATGCAAAATGCCTAAATCCATGATTCATTAGAGGTTGCAACATCATTGCATTACATTTGTTCACTCATTTGCCAAAATTCTATAAAGTGAAGGTTTTCCTTCTCTATTATTTGGTTACCAGTAGTACATTTAGTATAGGGAGAGCAGTGTACTTGCTTGATATTTTTTTTGTTTACCACTGTTCAAAATAAAAAAAGTTGGCTTTATGTATCCTTCATAAGTGAGATATTTATATCTCTATATACTTATATATAGTTATATATAGATATACCACCTCATGGCTTTGTACTGGTATTTCAAGTTCAGTGAAAATTTAATACTACAGGGTGTTTATTTAAAATTCTTTTGTCTTAGATCTGTATCTTTACCCAATTCCTCCAAGTTCTTAAGTAGTAAGAAGACTCATACAAACCCACATTTTACACAAATCATTCTTGTTAATAACTACCAATGTGATTACTGAAAGGAGTTAAAACAGTCACTCCATTCTCTCCCTAGTTTTTGTTTGTTTGTTTTTACGGTTGTACTGTTTCCTACACTGTCAGAGCATATGGCACTACTTTATACGGTTCTCTTTCCCCTATATTCTTGTCAGCTAGATATTTTGAGATTAAGATCACAGACTGAGGCTTTTGTGATTCTGTTAGTGTTTTAACAAGACTTTATCTGTGCCTATGAAAGAGAATAAATAATAAAGGAAACCAAATCTATGTTGACAGAGAAATAATTCTTGAAAGGAATGTTACATTAAGAAACTGTCAGTAGAATGTTATTGTTGATGATTTAAACTGTTTTATATTTTGTATTTCCCCTAAGGGTAACTTTAACATCTTTTTTTTTTTTTTTAATATTGTGCCTAATAGAACATTCCAGTGTTCCAGTGGAAAAAAATATCACTTTGCAAAGACCTTCTAATATAGAACTCACATGCCAGTTCACAACATTTGGGGATCTGAATTCAGTAAATGTGACTTGGAGAAAAGGTGATGAACTACTTGAGACTAATTATCTCATCAACGCAACTGGAAGCATCCTGTATACCCAATACGTGTGAGTATACCTGTATGGCTAGATGAAGTTACTAGTTAAATTCTAAATATTTTTGCTGACTGGCATTCTTTTTTTTTTTTTTTTGCTGTCACTTGAATGTTATGCTAATATTTTAATTTGTATATTTACAGATTTTTTTCTATTTTTAAATTTCTATTAATTCATTAACAGTTTTGAGAACTAAGCCTATATTAATAACTTAAATTATTTTTAGGTTCACCATCATTAATAGCAAACAAATGGGAAGTTATTCTTGTTTCTTTCAAGAGGAAAAGGAACAAAGGGGAACATTTAATTTCAAAGGTCAGTACTAATAACTGATACTAGTAACTTCAGCATTCTATTCTTAGAATTCTAAATCTCCAAATTTTAAAATTATTTTTATAATAGTAGACATAATGCAGTTGAAAGAAAACGATATGTTTTCCATTGAATCATAAGTGGCAACTTAGAAAAAAATATTTTCTAGTGTCTTCTCAGTGGTAGAATTTGTATTTCCCAATCAACTCCCACTCTTGCCTCCCTTCCCTAGTCTAAAACACAGAATTTAGTTTGAAAGACCAGGCTGCCATGTTACTTGCAAATCATAGCAGTTTCTTCTATGTAGGTATATATGTATGTATGTTTGTATCATCTATCCCTCTAAACTCAGAGCTTTTATAATAGTCCTCTAGTTGTCTGAGTTATTGCATTCCTAGACTGTGAGAATAGTTATTGCATTCCTAGACTGTGTCAGTGGCTCCAGGACTTGGGGTTTTAGGGATATATAAAACTTAAAAATAATATGGAGATGCACAAAAGATTGCTTTTGATCTCATCAAGTAAGGACAAACCCCAGAATATAATCCATAGCTCTCCTTTGTGTGAACAACAACAAAAGAAATCAAAGTATTTTACTCTTAAAATCATTAAACCAAAACTTTAAAGGTCTCAATCTCATAATAAAGACTAGTCATTCAAGTTAGATAATTACCTTCATGAAAAACCCATATTCTGTGATAGATAAGTGAAACACAGTGTCCATGCTGGTATTTGGGAAATGTGGTCTGTTGCCATATTAAATGTTTTGGGCTTTGCTTCACAGTACTTTCCCAGAGTACATGAGAAATCATTTTCTACTTTTCTTAAAAATTGTGAACTCTAGCTAGCTGCTCTGGCAAAAAATATGGATACTGTCCCCAAGACCCCGTCAGTAGCAGAATGGCCTGCTTCATCATTGCCATGGTTTAAGACGATTTGCTCCTATATCCTTCCCTATATTCCCTCTACACTCACAGATTCATTTCCTTCATGTAGTTTTGTAAATGTTCCTTCTCGGTAAATGTAATTCTTGTGTTTATGTAATTTTGTCTGTGCAGAGGCAGAAACTATTATCATCCTCTGGTTATTCTGATCATATGCATTCTCTCTTAACTTTCTTTCCTCCATTTGCCTAATTTAACTTAGTGAAGGATAGATATACTATACATTTCTTTCCTTTTATTCCTTTCCTTCTTTCCTTTTTTCTTTTTTCTTTTCGTTTCTTTTCCTCTTTCTCTTCCCCTCTCTCTCTCCCTTCCCCACCCCTTCCTTTCTCCTCTTCCTCCTCCTCTTCTCATCCCTACTCCAATCCCTCCCTCTTTTTCTTCTTTCCTTCCTTCCCAGTGAGCTAAAAAGATAGTAAACATATGCACACACATGTGTGTACACACACACATACACAATCCTAGTAAACATTTTATCAAGTGTCCTTTAACTATCTAAGGAAGGCCTATAGGTCTTAAGGAAATACTCAGCAAATCTAGATGCTTAATGTGGTTTCAGGGGATTCAACTTTAAAATTGCTTTTTCTCTCCTTCTAAATGGCTGTTTTCTAGAAATATGTACTAGTTATGCCTTTTTAAAGTTTAAATATTGATTAAATTACATTATTCTTATTAGCTCTCTTATAATAAATTACTTAAACTATTATTTGGAAATGATCATTCTTCTAATGTGAACATTAACAGGAGCATTTTACTTTTCAATATACCAATAAACTTAATATCGGGCAGTCTTGGAGAAGGCTTCCTTCTTTCGTATCTATTTTGAGATAACTAGGCTGATGCTAACTGGTGTCAGGAACACCTACATGTGAAATCAAATGCAAAGAACCACTGAATATTTACTTTTTTTTTCTTTTTATAGTTTTCTTGAAGCAGTTTGGTTCAGTTTATCAGTTTTTAATGCCCACTTAACATTAATGTAACTTTTAAGTATGTACTATATTTTAAAGATATTTATAAAATTAATAAGTTGGGCCCTTCTAGATCTTTTTTTGGTAAGAAAATAATTCTCTGTAATTAATCTAAATTGAATATTGTTTGGAAAAATAACTTCATTTGATTACAATTTAAAGATGTTTGGCATATGGAGAAAACATATTACAGTTATATAACTAGAGCTGTAAGCCTTATAAAATGGTATACATTTTAATCAATATTCTATCATACTCTTTCTCTATGTGGGTTGCTTATGGTTTTTCCTAAGAAGAAGGATTATTTTTCCCTAAGCAGCACTACAGTTTAGTGTGGATGAAAAGTCTGTTTTATCCTCTATTTTAAGTTGAGCCAAAAAAAAAAAAAAAAATTCTGGTATTGACTACATGCGTCAACTATAGTGCGTGAGATTGAGTTCTTAGAACAATTCATCAGCAAAGTTTCTGCTTCGGCTTTTATGGGAACTGGTTGATTTATTATTACAAGATTGTTAAAGGGCATCCACATCACTGATTAGTACGATGCAAAAAATCCTGCTGACTTTGTGTGTTTGGTTGTTGATGCCAGTGACAGGAAAGATAGCAAAAGTCACTGGAAGCTTGCAACTGTGTAATATGTTGGTGTTACTTTTCACACAAGAAAGATGAGTGATGTTCTACAATGTTTCTTGGTAGTGGGAGGGGAGTGATATTCTGAGGTAGTTGGTGAAAACTTCACTATTTGTTAAAATCTCTTAGCAGAAAGATGCAGAAATTTGGTTGATAAAGGACAAATAATAGGACATGGAACTTTTGGGAAATCATGGTGAGATTTTGACAGTACCAAGCTACTTGGCCCAGCCATCTGTCTTTACTGTGAAGTACCCAAGGAGTCAAAATATGGAAATGTAGCATAATAGAATCAGTTAGAACTTCAGCTTCAAAACTGTGTTGAAGTTAGCTGTCTTTGACAATATGGAAGAATCTTTTCTCTAATTTGGAAATATGTAAATATCCCTTAGCCAAAAGTCACACAAGCTGATTTTTTCTAGCCTGTGGATATGCAGATAGAAATCTCCAATCTTACAACTCCACAAAATTTTCACTTTCATTGGCTAGATCCTAGACACCATTTTCCTAGACGCTAGTCTGAATCAGCAATTTTATCATCTTCAAAAGTGGGTTCTTCCAATTCTAAGGCTCTCATGTGGCCTACTTTATGCAAAGTTCCAAAAGGTCAACAGGACACATTAGAATACTATATCACTATCCTCCTAGTCATAAATATTTCCAAACATAAGCAGCAGCCCAGAACTGTGACCTCTGGAGCAGGTCAAACAAATTTATGTTCCCTGAACATAGTACATTTTATAATTTAGATCGACACTGCCATATTAAGAATAGCAGAGCAGTGGTTAATGTCATCTTGGCCATTAATCTAAGGGATAGTAAAAAAAAAAAAAAAAAAGAGAGAGAGAGAAATGAAAAGGAAATAGAATTTGGTTTTGTTTCTTTCTGGCATCACTTTCATTGTCACGGTTATCTGCCGTCTATTCCCTGATTTTAACATTTAATTGAGATGGTTTAATAGTGTGGCAATGTGTCCCTCACCCAAATCTCAAAAAATACCCAAGATTTTCTTAAAAAATCCCTTTCAGCCAGCCGTTATGCTTCCCAGGCCTTTGCCTCTTAGAGGCTTACTGAGGAAGAGTTTATCTATCTTCTGTCATGTTTTCCGCCAAAATGTTGCTTCTCATCCACTTTTGAGTCTTAGTCTTGTGAGTAAATTTCAGTATTTCGATCATATTTCAACACATATTTTCCTGCTAACGCACGACCCTAATTTATTTCCAGGAAGACGTATGCTGAGATTGAGAAATAGGATAGACACCTGGGAGATCAACAGACTGGGAAAACAGACACTGTGCCCTGGACTAGTGCGTGACGCAACCAGTCTCGGAGTCTGCCTTCAAGGCAGAGTTTGTGTTAAGGCGAGACTAGCTTGGCTCTAGGAGTAACTGCATCACAGCTGCATTGTTAAAAATGCAGTGCCAAATATGTACAAGTCGTACCTCTCCAGGTGGTACTCAGGTGTGGCTCTGCTCCATCTGAGGTCTGGAAGGAACCTTGTGGCTTGAGAAAAGAATTCCTATTTTAGCCATGCTCAGATCTCTGCTTATTCTGCAGGTCTTTAGTTGCGGCCTAAAGTGTGGTTGACCTTTCCAAATGGGACTTTATCTCTCAGGTGCTTCTGTATTCTCATACTTCATTTAATAATATGACTACACTAGGTGTTGGGTATATTGGAATGAAGTGTGATCAGAAAGTGGTATTGCAGTGCTTTGTCAGGAGACCCAAGAATAACTTCGTTCTCACTTGGTCCAATCATTCTTCCTCACAACAAAATCTCCAATATGGAAATATACACAAAAAGGAGACACCAAAGCAAAGTAATATTTATTATTATTATTGGCCAGCTTTGGCCACAAATCTTGCTGAAACCCTTGGGAGGTTTGACCACATAGATAGCATCTTTTTCCTTAATTAGGTCTTACTAAACAAAACAGAGTTATCTATTCCTTCACAGTCTAAGCTCAATTTGGTAGTTACTACTCTAGACAGGAAGGTAGACCCTCCTGATCCAGAAAAAAACATCATGATGAACATGAAGGGTTATTTATACTTCCAAATTCCCATTCCTAGAAAATGGGGCCCAATCAGTGCCCTGCAGCATGACTAATCTAGGACAATCCTCTCTAGGACTGGAAAACTGGAGGGTTGAATGAGAGGAGGGAATTTATATTGAGGTCATTAGGGACGTAAGTCACCAGGGACAACTGCCCAGCCTTCTGTTACCACCACTTCCAATGTCTAGTGAGGAAACTGGCTCTATCATAAGAAAAACAAAACAGAATAAAATATATCATGGTTCAGCCCAATTTAGACCTTTAACATTTTAACATTTAAACTTATCATCTTGTTTATAAAATACAGTTGTTATATTAATATCAGGACAGAGAGTCAACTCATTCTCTTGGATCCTGGAGTTGCTTCCAATTTTCTTATATTGCTTATTTTCCTCCATTAGAGTGTTATCTGGATCTATAAATGAGCCCTGAAGGAGTAGCTGCAGACTGGGGAAACTGAACCAAACAAAAGTAGCTTCACCTAACGGGGCAGAACACTTGTGTGAGAGTGTTTTGTACTGGTGTTAGCCTATCCATGATCAATGTTGTAGCTGGCCCAGCCTTTGTGGTTCTTATTGTGACTGCAAGATGTCCTTCAGCAATCATGGAACTCTGCAAAGATACAGATATATTACTTACTCACAAGACCTGGAGATTACATGACGTTTTTTTCTGGATCAGGATTGAAGTCAGGATGGTGGGGAGGAAGAGGGGAGAGAGGGCTCGCTCTTTAGCTCTTGTGTCAAAGTATTATTTGCTGTATTTACTGGTTTTCTTGTTAAAACCAGTATGTGGTGAGTGGGCCATTTCCTTTTTATTCTGAGGTTTCAGGATACTATATAAAGTTATTATTTCATGTATTCTTTCTGTTCCATATATTACATATATCTGAAAACGAAATTTTCTTTTTATGTTTTTAACCAATTTTATTTCTTGTTATGGTAAGGAGCAGTAATTAGGCACCCTGATTTAAAATTTTCTAATTTATACTTAAATTGTAATCCTTAAGACAAAAAAAAATCTTATTCAACTGTTTTAGTCAATCATGTGAATGTGTGTTTTAAGTAGTAGAAATTGTTTTACAGCTTCACTGAGAAGTGGTTTAAAGGATAGATTGGTGCCATCACCAGCATCTCAAAGCTACTATTTCTTCATTCTTCTGGGCCTTGTCTCCTATGAATTCATCTATTTTTCATCATTTTTTTATCTTTTAATCTCCTTTCTCAAATGAGTTAAGTGGTCTACAAAGAACTCAGTTTGGAGCCTTTTCCTCGTTTGGGGTTGTTTTTACACATTCTTAGAGTTCTGAGATGAATTCAGATGGATTTCCAGCTCTCTTTTTTATCTAGGTTCCATTTCTTCTATTTCATGGTTCCACATGGCCAGTTGGCCCAGTCATTCTTGTATGTGACAAGAGAACCTATCCTAGTAAGCTGGCTAATGACCACTATGTAGAAAAGCCATGAGCATTACAAATGACTCAGTTAAGAAAATTAGTATCAGTACATGATCACAACAAAAGTTTGAATGTTTTTGGTGTTCATAATACAGTGTCTGTGTATTATGTTCTCATACTTAATCCCAGCAACACTATAGGATAGGTATAACCTACCTTTGTACTCAGTACTAGTAACACTAAAGCTGTATTTCTAATTCAAATATTTCTTGGACCCAAATCTTATCTTTGTTACATCATTGTCACACCATGATGTCTCTCAAACACTCATGACCTGACTTTTGAAGTGGACACATATTAACCACTTGTCCCTTAATGTCTCTCAGCCTAATGGTGACCAATAGTGAGTATGTGGCACTAGTAGCCTCTCAAAAGGAGTGCTCAGAATACCTTCTGGCAAGGTCAGCTCACCAATTTCTTCTGGCTGGATGGCTTTAGTCAAGCTGGTCACATGTACTCATCTCTCTCTTCCTTCAGGAGCACCCTCGTGGTACCTTACTAGGTTTTCATAAACTATCAATGGGGCGATTATAAATTGGTGATTCACATCTTTGGCTAATATAAATTTGTGGGCCATTCAGTTTCATCAAAACATGCTCTCTTGGTTTTGGAAAGTATGAGAACCACTGACATAGATTGCTCTGTCATCCTTCTTATGATCACTTGAAGCATTTATGCTTTTGTGGGTGACATACCTTCCTCTTACTTGCATCTCTCTATTATTAGCAGGGCCTCATTCAACACTCTGTTGGTCAGCAGTCCTGATGAAGGAGAGAGTGATAGGTGTAATTATATTGAGGCCTACTTTAGACAATAAGGAAAAAGGACTTCTCACATTCGTCATTGTAACAGTAATCATCTAAAGACAGAACCCATAACAAAATACTATCCTCCAACTCTATTTTACCACTTCTCTGGTGGTTATACAAGTAAGACTTCTTTTTTTAGCTATTACCAATTATTTTCTACTTCTTCATCTTTATAATTCATACATCCAGTCAATGCCTAATTATCTTCAGGTAGTAAAAAGCCAAGAGCACCTGGAAAATATATTTAATCTAGAAACCTAATTATGGTAATTAAAATTGATCTTTCCATTCTCCACTCTGATCTTACCAATAATAAAATCTAAAAAGAGGATAAGAAGTGAATATCAAACAATATCTATAAAATTTGTCAGCATAGTATTCAAAATTTAGACATAATTTCATACATTCTCTCTCTGTTGGTAAACCAATCAACAACAAATGATAAACAAAACACAACACAAAACACGAAACCTGCTAAAATTAGTAAAAGAGAAAAATGAAAAGTAATCTTTGTTGATCGGTCTACATCTCCGATGTAACTATACCTTCTACAGTATATACTTTGAGGACAATATAAAGGAACTGGTTTCACTATGAAAGCTATTGGTTGTTGTTTTTTTTATGTTGCTTATGTTCTTTATGTTTTAATTTATTGACTAAGTTATTCACATCCTTAAAACCTAATTTTTCTAAATTCAGACCTCATTTTTATTCTGTTACTAATGGTATCTGCTTCAAAACCTTCTTAGTAATTTTATTATAATGAATTTCTTTTTTTACGAAACCACATGAAACTTTTTTAATCTCATTTTCATTCTTATTGTTTTTCTATTAATTTTCCTATGTTCCTTTCTCATGTTCCTACTTCTCCAACTCTTTAATGGCTTTTATTAATCTGTATCAACTAAAGAATTTATATCTTGAAAATTTTGTCTCCACTCAAATGCCATCTAAGGTAAAACTTTGAAAAAAATTGTTTTAAAATAACTTAGGTGGGAAGAAATAGTCTTGAAATATAAAGTTTCTTTCTTATCCAAAGCAAGTAACAGTTTATTACAATACTTGTGTTGTTATTAGGCTCAATAACAGATGATCATTCTTCTAACTTTACTTTACCAATAATTATATTGAGCTATCTACTACTATTATTGTTAGTACTATACATCCTAACTACTACAAAGTAGTTTCATTTTATATAGAACTAAAACTATATAAAATCATAATTAATGAGAAAATGAAAGAAAAAATTGTGTTGAACTTGAATACATCCCCCCTATTCAAAATCTTTCAGTAATATACATTTCTCTAAATTTTTCTTAGTCCCTGAACTTCATGGAAAAAACAAACCATTGATCACTTATGTGGGGGATTCAACTGTCTTGATATGTAAATGTCAAGATTGTTTCCCTTTAAACTGGACCTGGTACTTTAGTAATGGGAGTGTACAGGTAAGATTATATTTCTTTGACGTGAAGAAAACAAAAACTTTTATTTCATAAATAATAAGATTATAATAGACTCAGAATTCCTAGGACTCTTTATACTTCTGTTATCTTATTCTTTAGTATGTATTCATAAAGAAAGAATCATGATTAATGGAATTATCATTTGATGTTTTTAACATATTACATTATACATCTGAAGATACTCAATGTTCCATTAGCTGGTACTTTGTTTTTTAGATTTAGCTATTTATTTAAATTCATTGAGAAGAAGTTGAAATTCGTTTTTAGTTGGTGAGTTTGGAAATAACCCTAATAACAACAACAACAAAAGATTCATTTTTTTCCTATCATTTCATGAAAACTGGAAAAAAAAGCAGTCTTCGTTTCCTGCTTCTGCCTCTGGAAACATTTTGTGATAGAATGCAACATGTCACTATTTGAGAAAAAAAAAAATGAAAATTTGGTAATTTAAACTTATGTATTAGGTTCTTTCAGTAAGTGTCGTTGGCCTCTTTTGGCCTTCCAGAGACTTAAGGGAAGCCAAATACTTAAAATTCCTATTAAGGAATTAATGACTATTCAAAAAGCTGATATTAAGAAAAACATGAATATTCAAGAAATCATTTCTGGTGTCTTTCTTCCTCCCAAATAGCCTCTGATAGCAGAGAAATTTAAGAAATTGTCCTTTAGAGCAATCCCCCAGCCACAGATCATAACCGGCCTCTTAGGAACCATACAGTAGGAGGTGAGCAGCAGGCTAATGAGCAAAACTTCATCTGTATTTGCAGCTGCTCCCCAGCACTAGCATCACTGCCCCAACTCCATTTTAGGTTATCAGGCATTAGATTCTCATAAGAGCACCAGTACATGGTGCCAAAAAGGTTGGAGACCGCTGCTTTAGGAGACACCCTTCTATTGCCTTGGTGCTAATGATCATTGAAATTAAAGTCCTGTAAAAGCAAGCTGTAATTCTAGAAAGAACAGTATGAGTGAGAATGCAGATCTACAATGAAATATTGAATTAGTTCTTAAACAAAATTGATGCCATCATAGACCGTTGAAGGTGGACAGAGGAATGACTTAAAAGCAAGAGTGACTGATTCTGTGATTTTTCAAAGAAATAGCTCAAAATCACTTAGGAGTACACTTAAACCATTAATATTTCTGCTTATCTTCTTATTGATGATTAGGAAAGGCAATTATTTTGTGTATGTAAATATTTTTTAAAAACATAAATTTGTAAAAAGTATATCAATTACAGTATTTGAAATACATAGTCTAATTTACTTATATATGCTAGACAAAAATACTCTAAATCTAATTATATTAAACTTTTAGAATGTAGTCTCTAATTCTATTCGTTATAATAATTTTCTTTTAATTTGACCCTAAGTATTAGGATGTCAGAACAAAGTGCAGGGAAGAGCATGCAGGTCAAAACTTTAGGTCAAGTGTTTTTTCAAAATGTAGACTAACCATCTGCATCAGAATCACTTAGGATGCCTATTAATCATGCAGTATTTTGATTTATCAGCTCCGAGTTAGAAAGGGTACATTTGTAACAAGCATTACATGCAATGCTGTGTACAAGGAGCCATGCTGCTATAATTCTTTAGGCAAATAATAAACTCAGAGTTCTTCATCAGATAACCTCTGGGAACATTTGTATGCAGATTAGCATTTATTGAGCAGTGCAGTTGAGTGATACAGCAGTGAAGGCATCAAATGAGTTGAGAATAAAATTTAATTTAAATGGATTAAATAAATAAGCCCTCAACTAGCTTACTATGGTTCTTAAGAGGTTGGGGAAAATCCACTGAATCTCAGAAGCCAGCTTACCTGAGAGAGAGAAATTCAGATATGAAAATATAGAAGGTGGTCAGACCACCACATGTACCAGGCTCACTGGGGATTTCTACTATTCCTTTTATATCAGCTTTAAAGGCCTGAGGATTTCATCTTCAATTCTAGTCAGAGGAACTCCCAATATCAAGACCCAGTGACCTTCTTTTATTGGAATGATCAGATTTAATAGCTTCATTAATTTAATAGTTGATTTAATATATGCTTGTGCTTGTGAAAGAGGAAGTTCTTGAACAGCTAGTCAGGAATTAGAATGTGAAACCCAGATGTCTGAAATTTTTCTGTAGTTTTAATTCTCATATAATATTTATTCACAATGACCTACGTGCTGTAGTTTCAAACATTCAGTGTTACGTAAAGGAAAGTATACTTTTCCTTTGTTTGCGATCTCTGGAAGATCAAACTCTAATAAGACTTGAGCTCTGTTACAGATAACTTTTCACAAATTTTAATATGCCTTTTTCTGGCAAGTAGTTTTCTTGGCACTATCTTATAGCTTTCGCTGAAAACTAGATCATTTAGGACATGTATCTTTTATGTAATATGATAAAAATGGATTTTAATGTCTCCTTATATTAGGTTCTTCTTGATGTTCAAATGAATGATAAATATGTGATCACTGGAGCAAATGCTAATGAAACAAGGCTCAGGATAATGGATCTTTCAGAAGAAGATCAGGGATCTTACTGGTGCCATGCAATATTCCAATTAGGGGAAAGTGAAAGTCACATTGAACTCGTCGTGCTGAGTTATCTGGTGCCCCTCAAACCATTTCTTGCAATAACTGCTGAGGTTGTTTTTTTAGTGGCTATTATTCTGCTTTGTGAAATGTACACTCAAAGGAAGAAGAACCCAGGTAGGATTTATTTTTTCAGATAACATTCGCATGTTATGACTTAATACATTATAAGGGCCTTAACATTTTTGGGGAAAAAATCTAGTTTTTGTTATTTGGAGTGATATTTATGTTAATATCAATGGTGACAGTGAACTATGAGCTTGTATTAATCATGGTCTTCCTGTTTCAACTTACTAAAATATTAAATATATCTTCCACTCCACTTTTCTTTGGTATTACTGGTACCTATATACCAATTAGTTGATATGTGTTTGACACTAGAATACTGGAAAATTCTGTTGTAGCTTAATATAAAAGATTTCAAAGACAATTATTATTTCACTTAGATAACTCATTTAAAAATATTTTATAAAATATTCTGGCGTTCTCAAAAGAGAGACATTGTCCTGTCAATTTCCCAGTTTTGTAGTCTGTACCTGATGGTTTACGGGTCGAGAAACCAATGGTTCCTTTAAGAAAATTTATCTTAAATTCTGTATACTTTCTTGATTCCGTACTAAATTTTTAATAACTTAAGTAATTTTATAATTAATCAGACAATCCTGTTTTTAAAAATTCTAGGTACTAGACTATGCTTGATTGAAATTGTAGGTAAGGTCTGGAGATCAGCAAAAGAAGAGGACCTGATAGAGGTGCCGCTGTCTCACATAGCATGCCTCTCTTTCGTTCCAAAGAGGGGAAATCATACAGTGCTTTCTTAACTCAGGAGAAAAGCTGAACTGAACATATATGCTCCATAAGAATAATAAACCAATCTTAATATTTATATTCTTCTTTTTTTACACAGCCGATGGGAAAGAATTTGAACAAATTGAACAGCTGTAAGTATTATTTTTTTATGGATTAATTTTCACTTGAGTAAGATACAGTTAAAAAAGAAATAGAAAAAAATGTTTAATTAGGGGGTAATCACAGGAGTATGGTATGTATGTGTTATTTTTTTCTATACATGTATATGTTATGGGAAGCATCTGGAATTTGCCTACCTGTGTTGGAATCCCTCACCATCACATACTACCTTCACCATTCTGTGCTTCAGTTTTCTCCTTAAAAAATGGGTTTAATGATAGTACTTATGACATAAGTCTGTTGGATTACATGATATTATATATGTAAAAATGCTTAGTATGGGCTTTGATGTACAAAAAGTGTTTAATAACCATAAGGAAGTATTATTTGTGTAAAGCAACCCTGGCCATATTTTTGATCACTTAGGATGCCCCTTAAAAATACAGTTGCTCAGACTTTCCTGGATCTATGGATCAGAATCTCTGATCCAAAGGATTGGTGCCTGGGCATCTATATTTCTTTAAAATGTCTATCACTGATTCTAATTCCCTCCCATATTCCAAATCGCTGGTCTAGAGTTCAACTAGTCCTTATTTTTGAAAGCACACACATTATGTCTCTAGATCTCTTATAACCCTCTCACCTTTGTTCAGAGTTGAGCATGAGAAAGGCTGGGAGGGAGATTACCGGGGTTGTAATTTGGTTTGGAGAAGCTGAGTGTTGCTAGCTCCTTCAAATCAGAGAACTGAGTGTGGAGTCCAGATATGGAAGTGGCCAAGACTGGAATTAATATCTGAATAACATTTAATTTATAACTGGAAGTTTTGACTCTTACTCCTTTTCATCTTTTTCATCCATCCCTCCACCCCTCTGCCAACCTTATCTTTGTTCTCTGTATCTATGAATCTGTTTCGTTCTTTTTTTTTAGATTCCACAATAAGTGAAATCATTTGGTATTTGTTTTTCTATGACTTATCTCACTTAACATAAAACCCTCTAGATCTGTAAATAAGCCATGGGGATGTAATGTATAGCATAAGGAAAATAGTCAATAATGTCATGATAACTTTGTATGGTGATTGATGGTTACTAGACCTATTGTGCTGATGACATTGTAAGGTATACAAATGTTAAATCACTGTGTTGTATACCTGAGATTAATATAATATTGTATGTCAATGATACTTCAAAAAAAAAAAATCTGAGTAACAGAGTGAATGACTGGGGATCAGGAAAATGAGACCAGATTAAAGCAGCCAAGAAAAGCCTAGGAAATTGGAGGCCTGAGCAACTGTTACCAATCAAACATGGCACTTAAAGTTTATCTTTATCAGCCAATAGGAGCTGTGAGGTGTGAGTGCTGTAGCCACAGTTAAAAAGCAGGACTGAGGCGTACCGTTCTCACCCAGATATTTGTAGACATTATTCAAAATAGTTATTTTTACTCAATTCATATATGGAAAATAAAATAAGTCAACATGATATAAGCTTCTAAATTAAGAGCATAAAATAATTATACCAGGAGTCCCATAACTCCAGCTAGGGAAAAAGCAGTGTTGTCTTAGAATCGCTGATTCTCACAGTTGGGAAAGAATTAATTACACCTTTCTGGACAACTTGGATATCTTATTTATATTGATTTAAACTTTTTATCTTTCTGGTTCTCATGTATAGAGTCTCATGTATAGAGTCTGGTTCTCACGTATAGAGGCCATATAAAATACATGACAGTCATTTAGATACTTGAAACAGCTACAACCTTGCCCGATTCTTCTAGTCTACCAGTTCGGTCTCCCAGTGTTTCTAGCCATCCCCTTGCAGTCACATTTGAGGTTGCTCCAGTCCCAGTGCATTCTGGCTTTAAGACACACTCTGAAAGGACGGTACTAGAACAATATAGAGCAATTCTTAATATTATCGGTTCTTAATGATTTAATTTTCATTTATGTAGCCTACCCTGTCTAAAAAATATTTTTTTGTAGAATACCTTAGGAGCAATGTCAAACTGATTTAATCTCCAAGATAAAGAATTAACTTTTAGTTTTTGAAAATTGGGATATTGTACATCATTTTCTCCATCCTAGACTGCTCCACAGAGATCACGGTCAGTGTTTCAGTTCTCATCTTTAGGCTATATCAGTATCTTTAGATTTCGTACAGGTATCAAGGGCACTATAAATCATTTACGCCAACCTTTTAGCAATACTCTTTCAGAATTTTTAGTTAGATGAATTTTTCCTGACAGAGAGTAAGCATTATTTATCAATACATTTTATATGTAATATTTGTATATGTGTTTAGATATCAGCGACTCATAGTTTCTTGGTGAAAATAATTCTTAAAAATAGTACTAAATGTATAACATGAAAACAAGCTAGTCACTTCAAATAGTTCGAGGAGCTCCCTCATTATCTATCTGATCCACTCATATATTTAATCTATACAATCTCACCTACCTATCCCATCCCCAAATCTTGACATAGTTGGTTAGGTGGTTGAATTTATTCTCTGGTGTTAATAACTTAATAACTTAAAGCTGCCTATAAGACCTAGAAGGGCATTCATTATACATCCTCGTTATCTAGTTTAGTCTCTTTAATTTTAAGGATCTGAAGCCCAGGTTTGTATTCTTGCTCTGTTGCACATTAGGTAGATAAAGAATCATGTTTAGTCTCTAATTCAGTGTAAATACATGTCAAATTACAGCACTTGCATCTCACATATTGGCTGAGCTCCCAACTGGCTATGATTTTGCATGTGTCAAAACAACGCACAAGTTATAGTCATATACCTAAGCTCCTACACATGCTGAGGGAGAAGCAATTCTCCCTCTGCATAAAATAAACAGGGCTTTGCCACTGTAATTTGTGATGAGAGTTTCTTTCCTAGCAATGGCATAAAAAAAAAAAAAAGAACATTACAAATAAAACCGTTTTAGGAAAAATGAATTCTGTCTATATTGCCCTTTTACGTTAATCTGATAGCCATGATATATTACAGATGGTGTACTGACTTAATATTATGCAATGTAAACATCTAGTTATTTTCTTTATTGTTTTCCATACAGGAAATCAGATGATAGCAATGGTATAGAAAATAATGGCCCCAGGCACAGAAAAAATGTAAGTAACTTCCAAATGGTATTCCAAATAAAAGGTAAAATCTACTATACGCAGGCTCTCTATTAATCCAGCTGATTTTTTTTTTATTTTCATAAAAGATCTAATCAATAACTATGTGCTTGAATATGCTGTTTACAAAATTATTGGAGAGAAATATTGTTATACATAAATAAATGACATCATTTTTTTTTTCACCAGAGAACAGGTAGCAACCAATCTAAAAGAAAATCTATTGCACTGCCTATATATATTTTTTCTTTTGTCATCATAGGCTAGTTTCTTTTACAACTTTTCATGTAGTCTTATTTTTTTCTTCTCTCAATTTTTCTGGATTCTCCTATTTTATTCTTATATAGTTCATATATTTGGTCCATATTCACTTATTTTCTTTACTGATTAGAATCAAAATTTTCCTAGTTCATCAGCATTTTTTTCCTGTGTATTTAGAATAGGAACTGTGGTTTTAGCAGTCATTTGGGTCACCCCTTCTCAGCAAGTTTTGTTTTGCTAAAGTGATAATAAGTCATTATAGAATAACCAGGAATAAACATGGTAATTATATTTCACTGTTTTATTTAACTCAGGAACCTGTGGGCAAATGAATGAGAAACATCAAGTCAAGAGTCATGGGAAGATGTACAAAGAGTTGGTATTTCTGCTTTGTTTATGCTTCCTGTTAAGAGCATCTGAGTTTTTATTTTTAAAATAATAAAAAGTATGCAACACACTCAGCAGTAGCTTCCTAAGTAATATATGCTATCTCAGATCAAAAGATATATTTTAATTCTGTAATTATTTTACATTAAAGCAAGTAAATTGTATTAAATATGTTCTGTGAGCTATAACCCAGGGTAATTAATTTCATCTTGGTCCTCAAGGGACACACAGAACAGATACCAGCAAAACCAGTTAATAATTCACAGAGCTAATGTCACTCAAGACCTATTTATAACCAAAGAAGTCATTAAAAAGGAAGCCTTTTCCATCTGTCTTAAAACGTTTTTTTCCCTAACTATGCTTACTTTGTATAGAAGTATTTGTAATAATTTTCATGTAAAGTTCATCCTTCTGTCATACTGAATAATCAGAACAATCAGTTACAATATTGATGTTATAGGGTGCAGGTCTGTACAGTCATAATGTGGCACTGCTATAAGGATGCTACTGTGGTTCATGGTTCCTGATATCTTTGACTTGATACCCAGTTTCCCGTTGTCCACAGCTAGGTAAATATCTAAAAATGCATTATTAGCACTTTCCAATATTCCTTTGTCTGAAATCCAGAAGTACTAAAGTATTTCTATATTGTTGTAAACGCCTTGGACTTTTCTTTAAAAATAGAATACTTAGTTTCTATTGCATATATAACTGAAATATTATAAAATCACTCTCACCAAATCTAATGAAATCTGAATAGACATAAAAAGCTGTCAGTGGATTTGAATGGAATATTAAAATTATACTGCAGAATACTGGATTGCGTTGAAGACAATGATATGAAACCTGCTGAGGGTCCTCGGTGGTGGTGAGTCCAGTGTCCCACTGCTTACAGTTCATCAGGGTTCAGAACAATCAGAAGCAAAGAGGGAAGTTTGGGGTAGTGGCACACAATTCTTGGTGACTAGGGGATTTTAATTTGGAGAAGAAGAGTTCAATGATTAAAAAAAATGCTTTATGGAAATTTATACAATGCGCTAGGTGATAAAATTATAATAAAATTCTGGTAGTGAAATTTATAATTTGTATAGAATACTAACTAATGTTAAAAATATTGTTAGTATGAATAAGCTGCTCATTATTTTGTTGTAGCAGTATTTTTGTAAAGCATGTTAACCATACATACAAGTTTTGTTGAACTAGAATATACCCCTTAAGTAATGGCAGATTTCATTTTATTCTTGGTCTCAGAGCCATAAGCCAGGCGTTTGTTTCGGTTTAATTCATTATTAATTTAATAAAATTATCTTGTGTAATATCTACATGATGACAGAGAACTAATCAATTCACTTGTATAATTTAAACAATTTGGATTTAGTGAAAAATTAGGCCAGTTATTTGACTAAATCCAATTCAAAACTGTGTATCTGTGACTGGGTATATACAAAACCAAAAACAATTTGTAGCTCATATGCAGTATTTATAGTTCCTTTTGCTACTACTATTTAGGCTAAAATACTTTCAAGCAAGAAAAATTGCTGCCCCGAGGTAAAATAATCTGAAATAATTATATAGTAAATTGAATTTTTAAGTGGCAGTGTTTGCTATTTTTCCTAGCAAAGATAATTTATTTCAGAAATTTTATGTAGAAAAAGTACTCAGAAAATTAAAGTTAAATTTTGGTTTTCAGAGTCTCTCTGGAGGACTTCTGGAAAATTACTTCACCACTGTTAGATTAAAAATGAAATGTTTCCATTAACTAACCTCATGGAGATGATAAATGGATTAATTGATAATGACCAATTATAAACTGACTGAAAATCCTAAGTGAGCAGAAAAGCTGTAGGAAAACCACTGCACATTTATGTATTAGATGCTGTGGGAAATTCTATTACTCTTTCCAGCTAACAGGTTTTTTTCAGCATATGTCTTAAAATTCCCAGATACTTTCATATTAGTTTATGCTCTAATGTACATCTCCCTTTGCGTCTTTCTCTTTTTCTTCAGCTTCTAGTTACTCAGGCCAAAACCTAAGACTCGTGATATTTTCTTCTTCTCTATTAACTAAAATGTATTAATCACGAATCTCTCTTCCTTTGACCTTCCTGATAGCTCATTAATCCACCCATTGCTTCCCCCACCTCACCCTGTCCAGCTGCAACAGCTAAGGTCTTGATTTTCCTACCTCGGTCTCATCTTCTATTAATCAATTTTTTTTTTTTTGATTGCTGCCTAAATCATCTTTCTAAAACACAAATCTCACTATGTAATTTAGTGTGGCAGCTTCATGTCAAACCTCGGCAAGCTCACTTTTGCCATTTCTTAACACTGCAGTTTTCCAAACTGTTAATCTCTAATGTCTTGACATAGCTTAGGCACATAGGGGATGCTGTCCCTGCACTCCTTCCCACGGACTAATTCAAGTTTAGCTTTCAAGACTGTAATCTGATGTCAGATCCCTCATACCAAAGGGAGTGTGCACCATCTCATGTGTCAAATAACTACCATTTCTTTGTAGTTGTCACCCTGAATTATAAATATACATTTATTTTTCTCCTCCCTGGATTCTGCTTTTTATTTGTGTCTTATACCTCTCACAGAGAGAATACCTTAGAGAAGTCAGGAAATGTGTGTTGAATGAATAAATGTCTAAGTAAGATCAATCAAATTTCATAAATTTGTTCTTATATTTAGAACAATCTAAATTGTGACATCAGAATTAAAATATTTAAACAGAGGTAAGCAAGCTTTTATACTTTCATTTTTGCTTCTATTATTTTTGAAAAACACACAGTAATAAAATTAAAAAATTCTGCCAGATGTCAATAATATATTAATAGCTAGTGAACAAAGAAAGTTCTGATTCTTAAACTATTACACAGGGTATGTTGCTTTCAACTTGTTTAAATTCCTATTGTCCTTTATTTTTCGAGGACAGTAAAAATATTAATTTTATACTTTCTTTTAGTAAGATAATGTATAGACTTTAATTAAATATAAAGAATACATTCTTTTGCATGGTACTGTTGGCGAGTGTTAACATTTGTGCCCACTCTGACAAATTTCTCATTCTTCCTCCCCACCGAGACCTTGTAGTACCTTACAATATATTAGAATCCAATTCAAAATTTTATCTTAAAAGAAACTTTTTTTATAAAGCTTCAATTGTTTGGTTTCGATCACTGAAAGTTTGTCTTTAATCAAATTCATCAAAAGAAAAAGATGTGAGTTCTGCACTTATTCCCTGGTCTTCATCTTTGAGGCATTTAAATGAATTTATGCAAAGTGATCTACTGTATATTATACTTTATAAAAAATCTTTTTTTAATTGAACAAGACTATGCAATTAATTAGGGACTTACTCCCTATTAGCACTGTTAATCTTTAGGTGGGAGTAAATTCAAGTATATGTTCCAGTGTTAATTAAAAGGCACAGTGACCTAATTATAGCATGCTAATAATATATATTGGACTAATATATATTGAATAAATGAAAAACACATAAATGAATCGATTATTTTGAAATCTTTAATTATACATACTTATGTAATATCTACTTTGATTTTGATTAACTGTGAATTTATCCTACTTTAGTATTGATAAAAAAAACTGGAACTCTCTATGTACATTTCCCTCACATGATATTTAGGAGTATTTTTGCACAGCATCCAGAAGGTCAATACCATGACCTGTTTGTCAAGTGAGTCTTCATTGAGGATATATAATATTATTAAATAATAATAAATGACATTTCTTGAGTGCTTAGCATGTGACAGGCACTGTGCTAAATGCTTTGAAATGTGTTATTTCATCCCCACATAATCTTATTCTATAGGAACTATTATCATCTACTTTTATATAGATGAGGACACTGAAGCTTAGAGAGATTAAGTGTTTGGGGCTGGGGTTGAAATCTAAGAAGTCTTCCTCAGGAGTTTTGGTTTAACAACCACATTGAGGAGCTTTGGCTTGTTACTTAAATGCTTCTTAGAAAATAAGGCTATTTTCTATCAAAAGTTAAATAACAAGTTCCATAATCTTATTCTTAAGGTTTATAGGACCTGTGCTATGGCATACTTGTTGACCTGAAACTGTGCTGGGAATCGGTACAGTTGCTTGTTTGGGGAGTCTTCCCCAATTCCCAATTTTACTTCTCCATAGTTAATGTTACCATAAAATGTATGACCCAAACACGGAGAACAAAAGGAGGTGCTATTATAATTTACCAGGACAACAGACAGGAAAGGGACCGCATGGCCACATTTTTAGTCCTCAGGAAAGAGCTAAGTATTTTATGGATGCTCTGGCCTAGGCATAGCAGTAAGGACAGCAGCAAGTTTGAATGATAAACATAAATTCAC